CCAAAATTCATTCAACGCCTACTCCTTCCATTTCTCCGTGATCATCACAACACCCAACACTCACTAGCCACATGAAAACCTAAATATCACTAGTGGAAATATACACACAGAGAAAACATTCCACAATCTCGATTCACATTGGCACTCACTTACTTACTCACTTACTTAACTACTCACACACTTACTCACAGTCCACAAATCCACAGAATTCAGTTCTCCTGTCAAAGCATTAACATGTGTCAAAGCTTACTTGTTGATCCATTGGTGGCACACTGACCACAACACCTTCTCCTCAAATAAAACAACCATTTCCATTCCCACAATCATCACAGAGACTACTGATTCCATTATTGCTCATTGCAAATTCATCACCTATCATCCACAGCAAGCCTTGTCCTCCAACTCTATCACAGGAAAGAAATAACCACACATTTGCATAGTTAACAATCAACAACAATATACTAACTAGTCGCTCAGTTACCCACCACTAACACTACCATCACCAACTCCAAATTCATTTCCAAATCCAACGAATCCTAGACCGGAGAGTAAGGCCATTCTTCCACCAAATACAACCGTCTATAACACAATTAATTCACACTAGTCTAAAACGAGAAATAAACACTCAGGCAACTAACACCCTACAATAATTAATACCATCATCTATTATATTATTACGCGTCAACATTTGTGACATACCTGATTGATTCTTTCGCGGCATAACACACAGAAATACATACCTGTACACCAAACACCAAAATTCATTCAACGCCTACTCCTTCCATTTCTCCGTGATCATCACAACACCCAACACTCACTAGCCACATGAAAACCTAAATATCACTAGTGGAAATATACACACAGAGAAAACATTCCACAATCTCGATTCACATTGGCACTCACTTACTTACTCACTTACTTAACTACTCACACACTCACTCACAGTTCACAAATCCACAGAATTCAGTTCTCCTGTCAAAGCATTAACATGTGTCAAAGCTTACTTGTTGATCCATTGGTGGCACACTGACCACAACACCTTCTCCTCAAATAAAACAACCATTTCCATTCCTACAATCATCACAGAGACTACTGATTCCATTATTGCTCATTGCAAATTCATCACCTATCATCCACAGCAAGCCTTGTCCTCCAACTCTATCACAGGAAAGAAATAACCACACATTTGCATAGTTAACAATCAACAACAATATACTAACTAGTCGCTCAGTTACCCACCACTAACACTACCATCACCAACTCCAAATTCATTTCCAAATCCAACGAATCCTAGACCGGAGAGTAAGGCCATTCTTCCACCAAATACAACCGTCTATAACACAATTAATTCACACTAGTCTAAAACGAGAAATAAACACTCAGGCAACTAACACCCTACAATAATTAATACCATCATCTATTATATTATTACGCGTCAACATTTGTGACATACCTGATTGATTCTTTCGCGGCATAACACACAGAAATACATACCTGTACACCAAACACCAAAATTCATTCAACGCCTACTCCTTCCATTTCTCCGTGATCATCACAACACCCAACACTCACTAGCCACATGAAAACCTAAATATCACTAGTGGAAATATACACACAGAGAAAACATTCCACAATCTCGATTCACATTGGCACTCACTTACTTACTCACTTACTTAACTACTCACACACTCACTCACAGTCCACAAATCCACAGAATTCAGTTCTCCTGTCAAAGCATTAACATGTGTCAAAGCTTACTTGTTGATCCATTGGTGGCACACTGACCACAACACCTTCTCCTCAAATAAAACAACCATTTCCATTCCCACAATCATCACAGAGACTACTGATTCCATTATTGCTCATTGCAAATTCATCACCTATCATCCACAGCAAGCCTTGTCCTCCAACTCTATCACAGGAAAGAAATAACCACACATTTGCATAGTTAACAATCAACAACAATATACTAACTAGTCGCTCAGTTACCCACCACTAACACTACCATCACCAACTCCAAATTCATTTCCAAATCCAACGAATCCTAGACCGGAGAGTAAGGCCATTCTTCCACCAAATACAACCGTCTATAACACAATTAATTCACACTAGTCTAAAACGAGAAATAAACACTCAGGCAACTAACACCCTACAATAATTAATACCATCATCTATTATATTATTACGCGTCAACATTTGTGACATACCTGATTGATTCTTTCGCGGCATAACACACAGAAATACATACCTGTACACCAAACACCAAAATTCATTCAACGCCTACTCCTTCCATTTCTCCGTGATCATCACATCACGCAACACTGACTAAGCACGTGAAAACTTAAATATTGCTAGCGAACATTTTTAGGTTGTTTGTATTATTTTTTGTTTATTTGATCGCTTTACTTAAGATTGTCATGTATGCTTTCGTTGTTTTTACCTTTCATATAGGTTTTTAATATAATGAATGCGTAACTGGATTTCAATGACTTTTCTTATTAGAATTTTTTTGTTATATACATCCAATATTTTTATTAGATACCAGATTTCAAACTTCCATCTATCAATTTTGCTTATTTATTTGTTCATCGTTTTAATTTGTTTTTTCATCCTTTTTCTTGATATTTTATGATTTTTGTCGTCACATTCTGCACGTCTCTTTGAACGTGACTGCATATGTGCGAATTCTTTTTCTTGTAGTCTCCCTAGCTTTCTATCTTTTTACTGTGAAACCTAATAATATGCGCAAACTTCCGTGTTCGTCTTATCTGGGTTCTTAAGCAACGCCATACTGAATAAGCAAAATCACCTTTTCGTCAGCTTGTGGCTTCTGTGCACTGGTCCAATTGCGATTGCTAGCCAGCTTACTGTCTTCGCACGTTTTAACAAACTCCCACTATAATTTAGCTTATAAACCAGTACGTACATAATTTATTGCAGTTATGATCATTCTTGGTCGGCACTAAACGTAGTTTTGTAATGTATGCTGTTTTGAGGATATTTCTGAGACGAAATTAGTCAGTTAAATGTCAGTCAGAAAGATCTTGTTCAAGAGCTGTTCAAAACGGGTTCTGCAGTCCAAAATACTCGCCGGACGTTGATCAGATACCTAGATGACAACATTTAGCTTTGTGGTACACAGATAATTGGAATATTAAATTTCATTCAACTTTAGATAGATAGAGCATTTCTATGTCAACCCCGTATCCCAGTATCACAAAGTGGTGGTCATTCACTATACATCTGATCATGAATCTCTTCATTGTCTTGGCTAATATTTGAAATCTCATGAGAAATCATCCGATAAGTAAGAACTCACAGCACAAATTTCTGCTCTTTACATCAGAACTCTGCTTACCAGCCTGATACTTGAAAATTAGGAACTTTCAAGTTTAGAAGCTACTAGGATACGACTTTACCCAAAATGCAGCATTCACAATAATTTTAGACAGCACGATGCCACCACTTTTATTAAAGGAATACATAGAACCTTACCGGCTTTAAGATTTGTTTCCCATTGCAAATCTGTGATTAATAGCTTAAAGGACTAACAATGGTTCCGTACCATGAATGGCAGGATAGTTCTACAGAGACCGGTTGTTTTTGATTAGCGGGACACTCAGTGACTATAAGTCAGTCAATCAACCAAATATTCAAACACAAACGAAGTACAAGAACAGACATCATGAACATAGAGCCCCGTACAGGAATGAGTTGACCAGAGTAGTCATACCCGGTCGGACTCAAGATCGACAGGGACAAGTGTAGGCCGAAGAGGACCGTGATATTCCGAACAATCTAAAAGACCATCTGCTGTGAAATTATTTAACTTGTGAGTTTTAATACACCAAAATACGCTTATAGAGTTATGGAATCAGTCGCACCAAGTTTTGTCAGGTTTACAACCAGAGCAGTGAACACGAGATGAACTAGGTCTAATGGACGTACATCCTTCAGGCGCTCTTTTAATTAAAGTGAATACGAGCCACAGAATGGTTTGAGACAATAATTAAACCTAAGAAACTAATTAGGGGCTCCCGAGAACTGAACACGTGGCACCAATCTGAAAGGCACACGCTCTTGCGCTGAGAATATTAGTTATCAAGATTAATGTAAGGGCATGTAACCCAACGGAACTCATGAAATAAACTGTGAATAGGAAGACATAACAGTTAAGAATCTTACAGGGTATATTGGAGGAATGCACGACTTCCAAATGAACGGTACCAATGCTCATAATATTCAGGAGCTTTTGTATGCTGTAGACAAAATTAACAAGAAGTTTGTGAAGTTAGTGGATATAATTTACTGGTTGATGTGCCTACGAAAAGTTTTATTAACGCCACATGGGAAAAGTGGGAGACGTTTACCATGTATTTTGATTGGTTTATCTATTGGGTGAACAGGAAGTACGTCCCAGAATGTAACACTTTCTTGTGAATGGCTTAACGTTAAAGCCAGCCACGAATACACTGCGAGAGTGATCCCATGACACCTAAGAAATAAACAGGTATGTGAAGATAGACATCAACATGAAGGATTATCTTAGTAGTTAACTCACATTTTTTGCCGAAATGGAATTTCCTGAGGCTCCTTTATGTGGTGATAGCTGCGCGACCGAAATGACTTTCACGCTATCAAATTTTAAACAAAAAGCTTTACTATATGAATTTTAAACCCATCTAACTCTAAATTCAAGGGCTACTCAGATTCCTCAAGTATTATTGTCAAATGTCACTGCGAAAACAGTACTTACAAATCAATCACAATATTGATGACTTTCAAAGTAAAGCCAAGTAAAAAGAAACCCCGTTCCAATTTACACGGTTGCAAGTGTTGTCCATCTGTTTTAGGAAGAAGAATATAGAGTTTCAATGATATATTAATAACAAACAAAAAAGAAATTAGTGATATGTGATACATGCAGAAATCAATCAGGAGTCTTTCAAATATCATTCAGGTGGACTGGAACGTAAACACCCATCAATACCATGTTTTCCTCAAAGCTCCGAACGAGCAGTTGAAATCCTCCGGCACATCAAAGCATGTAAGTATGCGTAGGTAAGAAGCATGCCCCCAGCCATAGATTCGGTCCTAAAAAAGGAGCAAAAGTAAGACTTAATTTAAATGCATATGTGGGAAACTACGAAACATCGGTACTAAGAAAAAGCAGCTTTCATGAACGATTGCAAAAATCTGTATTATGGATATTTTATTCGAAGACTTGCCAGCGGGTAGTACGAGATTAGCATGCGAGAGGCGAAAGTTTACATCTAGACTTCCGTCAAACCGACCAAGTACCTGGTGCCGTTAGGCTCCTCCACAGCTAACGATTAGGAACCAGAAGCTCAGTGGAATGCAGTCCAACCCATATCCCGGTGACCTTGGATATTTCATGACATCAAGAAACTGATCCCAATCTGGTTACCTTAATCCAAAAGACACTGCATCATTTACATGTATGAGTAACCGTGAAAAGTCAGTGTGGCTTGACAGTTAGCGGACACACAGTGAACTGGCATTTTACGAAACATGCTATTAATTTCCAGGCGTCAAGTATCCGACATTTTGGAGGAAATGATAATGACAATCTGCCTGAAACCTACTTGGAAAGTCCACTGACGTTATATCAGGTAAAAGCAATATGCTACACTTTAATTATTGACGTGATATAATTTAAGAAAATAATTAGCACACTGTCCCTTGCAATTTACATGGACAAATCCCAAACTTGTCAGACATCTTTTTACAAAATCGTTGACTAGATGCCTCTTAGCTACTTCTTTACTACTTTCTTGGAAGTGACTAGAGACTAGTTATCCAAATAAAATACTACCGTGAGATAGTAAAGGACGTCTGAGGATAAAGTGAAGGTGCATGAGGTAATAACAGTATAGTACCATTCCAGGTTGTGAAACTAGATGAAAGTATTTAGCAAAGCAAAAAGCCAAGTTATCAGTTAGCCAATCAACCACTTTGAAGTTCTTATTTTAGGATTAGCATGCCACTTCTTTTTTAGTCATGCAGTTCCCTAGACATGTTTAATAATTAGACATCACGGTAGTTTGGAAGACCCACCTCTTTAAATCAGAACATATTAAACAGGAGTGGTTCAAATGGTTGTGGACGGAATAGATGCTTTCCCTTAACGGGCATCAGTGTCTAGTAGCAGTGTATAACCAATACCTCCAGGCAGGAACCTATATATAATTACAAAGGAGGAAAAGGAAATTGGTAAATCAGAGTAAAATACTACACTTAGACCTTGAGAATGTTTTCTATTAAGGGACTGCTGTGAAACCGCTTGAATTAGCTCGGCCGGTAGTAAATTCCTGCATTTGACTACTCTTAAAGAATCAAAGTTGTCTTCAATCCGTTCTGCTGAGTAGTGTCTTCAGTTTCTGGGTATTACCGTCAGGTTTGTGTTGGAGACAAACCTAAGTAGATATTTAAGGGGATGACAAGAAATTTTGAGGATGCTTCAGGACACCTTCAAGACGCTTGTACTCTGACGGGTAGTGCGCTCTTCATAAGTCTTGAATTTGAGTGCCTGAACTGATTACGTAGCCAACCGTTGGATATATCCCAGTGTCCTTATCCTTTTGGTGTGGGTGACGAAATGCTGTTTCCGTATTCTAAATGGAGGCGAATAAGACCGATGAGCATTATGTGGAGAGTTCTTTCACCAAAATGGCCCAAAATGCGCTTCAACGTTATCAGTACGATGTTTAATCAAAAGAGGAAAGTCTCGTAGGTAATTATGTTACTTTGATTCGAACAATAGCAGTCTATAGTGAATGCACATTCGGAATATTTTAACTAAACTAGACAACACTCAATAACTAAGTTTAGTCATTATTGATTACCTCCTAACGACCGCGTATAACGATCGAGTTGTAGTCTTAGATGCGAAATGCACATGTAAACGATAACCTATGTAACTTACATGACTGATCGGATTAACTACCAGAACTATTTCAGTGACTATGGATGTGCCTCACTCGTTACGATTCTCCGTACTCATCTTGTTACCTTTAGCTGAAATGTAAACTGAATACTCCAAAAGTGGAAACCTACTTCACATGCTTTTGTGTCTCCTTACTTCCTGGGTCTTTTTATGGCAGGTGAGACAGAAATGATGGGAATCATAAACACAAAGTAGTAAGGCGGACTTCCGCATCCACAGGAAGTGGAAACGACTACCGCCAATCATTTTAAACAACTTTCAATGTTTCGAACCTCTTTGTTGGGAACAACAGATTGAATTTTCATGGGAATGTGTATCTGAGAATATTTTGACTCTACTACTGAAAAATTCATAAAAATTAATCACTTGAACTACTTCAAACCACAGTTTATTCTAGCATTAGATTACTTGTAAAGAGTAGGTATGTCTAAAGTCCATTTTGCCCTGTTGTACCTCTAAAAAGAATTGGTTAATTGGCTCTCACAAATAAACTCCCACGAGTGTCTTTATTCATCAGACATTACTCTGCAGATTGATATGAGTAGTTGACTCGCGTTACTTGTGGCAATAAATTTTTAAGCATTGTACTGTAGCGGTAAATAAATCCCCAAAATAAATAGCTCTGTAAGTTTTCGACATTGGATGCTGACCAGATTAGTTTTAGTGGACTCACCTAGCTGAAGGTGCTCGGTCATGCATCCGCACCAGATCACGTGTGGGAACGCCGTGCTCAACATCTACTGCAATCGCTAGTCAGACTAGATCAGACAATTCCGATATATTGGCAATCGTCAAGTACAACTTCTGATCTCCTTGATTCTGTCTTTTGATTTCTCTTGGTGAGTACGAGTTATTTTAGAAGGTGTTACCGGTAAAAGCGTTTTCAAACACTAAATACCAGCGCCTTCTTCAGTACATTTCCATTATTTGTACGTATGATTTATAATTGGAGAACAATGCAATCAATTCATTGACTTGTTGGTATTCAAATCCATAATTCTTTTATGAGTGCTCAAATATAATTCCCGGTCACATCATGTCTCAGCCTATCGTTATTATCAATTTATTTTATTGCTTAGTCACTTTTTGCTAAGGAATACGCGTGATAGGGGATTATTTTTTTATTTACACACAAAACTGAGATCCTATAGATCTTAATATTTTACGTTTATTCAAGACTTAACAACGCTACACAGATGCTAACTAACTAGAACGTGACAGATGTGTACAGTTCCTCGTGGTAGTGGAGGCTTTGCCAAGTGGGTTCGACACGTACGTTGCATCTAGTTTGTTTGTCAGTAATGAGCCTGAACTATATGACGCTGGAAAATGTCATTCTTAAACGCGGGGAAATATTCAGTCGACAAGGATTAGACAAGGTGTACCAAAATATCGAGCTACATAATGGGTGCAACTCTAGAGTGGGAATTCACCATTTTGTTGAATTTGAAGGGTTTTTTATTGGGGGTTGGTTCTTGGTAATCGGGAGTCGCTATTATCTTGTTTTCTTGTGGGCTGGCAAAGTGACCCTCAGTTATATCTCAGAAGAGGTCCGTTGAGTTGGTTTTAACTTTGGGTTTCAGTGTGCGCAAAGTAATCCTACTTCAATGTTTTTTTCTCTAAATACTTGGCAAACATATTGAGAATGTGTTTTCTTATTATGCTTGTGATTAAGCTGTCTTCAGCTAATCTGCTTGCTTATGCAAGATTACTAAATACGTGACTGACAGAAGGTTTGGAAATTTTCTCAGTGTTTCCTAGCTGGGTCCTAAAGCGAATTCGATTATGGACTTTCAAAAGACAGTTTATGACTGGATGTTCGCGCTTTTTCATGTAGTTTTCAGGTTCTAGATTTGACGTAAATTGCAGTCTTTTATGATTTTCACATTGTCACCTTCAATCACTGTTGAAGCTCATAAATATCCTCAAATATATCACTTGACCGACTTTAAAATTCTTTTACCCAAGCTACTCGATAACACTGACTAGTTAGCTTGAGAATAATAATGGTCTTTATGTTGTAAATTGATGTGTAGAATAACTTATTGTGTATGTCACTGTTGACACTGTTTTGAAGAGTGTCAGTTACCCATAATGTATCCGTTCTAAGTACAGGCCAAATATGTATTTGACTATTACTGGACATGGACTTGGTTTGAAACTCATTTTGCCACGGCAGGTGTTTTAGTGTTTCAATCCCGTAAAGTCCGCTTACTTAGAGCTACGAAAAGATTGTTTTGATAGAGTGGATACCTACCATTCATCAAAATCTTCACGTTTTCGAATATCAAATGTACATGTTTGTGTACTGACCAGCAAACATGAAGGTGGGGAGATAACTTCAATCCACCCATGTCTGTAGGGCAGAACATTTTGTTTAATTACGGCTCCTTATCGTTTAGTGGGATGCCACGAACTTATGGTATTGAAGCTGATTTATTCACGCAAAATACCTCTGTAAGTCGTGTTACGAACGTTGAATTGGTTTCACTTCCTACCCAGAAATCCTATTACATGCAAACTAGACAATTCGCTAATATACGAAGCCTAATCAAGACCCAATAATAACTGGGGGGAAATATTTAAAAAAACGAAAGGGGCTCTAATAGCCTCGATAATAAAGGGAAGACAGCCAAATGTATATCACAATACTGTTTCTAGCACTATATTTTATTTTATAATCACACATAATCTTATACTCTCAGCTCTTTTCCGAATCGCCCCCATTTGTCAGTTGTATGTTAACTCACACCTTGTCAACACTTATTTTCTTTAACCTATTAAAATGCTCTTTCTTAACATATACCTTAATAAAGGAAAATTAGACTGAGTAATCATACCTTAAACATTCCTCCATGAATATTGGCTACTCTGCCTCTCGTGTTTTCTTTTACTTGCTCCCTCTTTTAGCCCCCTTGAGATATGGAACTGGTGACTTCATCCTGCACCATCCTTAAAGCCTTGGATATCCCAATGGGACATAAGGTTGCGATTTCTAAAAGCTCATACCTTAAATGGACCTATCCATGACCATCAGTCGCACATTCGCAACGCAACTTTCATGAATCGCGCTAACTGTGGTACTGATTCAAACCATCTACATTCATATCTTATAAATTATCAACCCAGCTATGTAATTTATTACAGTGTATATTGTATCATTTGTATCAATTTGATCTTGCCTGTAAACTGGCATGCCTCATGTAACAAACTGTTATTTGAGAATAAATTATTATTATTATTATTACACTTACATTAGATTGAACGTCGTAGTAACCTGCAGACTGAATATGGCTTCTTTTTAGGAAAAAGTTGAATTTGCCGGTAATACTCTAATTTCTACTCTACTACAGATGAGGTGCGTAACATTCTTCACTGCATTTATGTCTACCAACTTTGCCTGTAACTTTTCTCAAGTTACTAACGGTCCTAAGTCCAGATAAACGAGGTGGGTTGGGTATAGGGTCAGCAACCCCATTCCACAGAAAACAACCTTTCTAAAAAATGCTAACCATAAAAATCATTTATAACACTCAAACCATGCCCTCCGAGTCGAAAGACCTTCATTTAGAAGTACGGGTCCTCATGGTGAAAACCGAGATTTGTCTGAAATCACAAGACCGATATTCCTTCTGGCAACTAGAGTGACAATTTTTACAGGCACATGGAATGTCCAGACAATTCGGGAGACAGAAAGGACCAATCAAGTGTCTACGAACAGAACTTGGCAGTGTTCAGAATTAGCGAAATCCATTGTACCCAAGCTGGATAGAAAAGGCCAGATTCAGGAAATATGCTGATATACTCTGGTCACGAAGAAGAAAATGTTCCATACACGCAGGGAGTTGCTCTGATGCTGTCCAAAGAAGCACGAAATCCACATATTTAATGAGAATCGCATAGATCCAGGATCATCAAGGCATCTTTTAAAACAAAGAAGAAAGACATATTCAGAAGTACCCAATGTTATGCACCCAAAATGATAGCAACGAAGACGATAAAGATCAGTTTAAAGAGAGGTTGCAACAGATCATAGTGAAGTGGTTAGGAAACGACCTGACCAACTTGATCGGAGACCTAAACTCCCAAGTCCGAATAGACAACACCGACCATGGTGGTATCATTGGACCACATGGACTGACTGGGGGAAACGAACGAGAATGGTAACAGATTTGCAAATCTATGAGCATTTAACAAGTTGGTTATGAACGGCACAATATTCTCATACAGACACATACACAGAGCTACATGAGTTACACAGCACCATGCCACAGAGAACCAGATAGATCATATTTGCATCAGTTAAAATACTAAAAAAATCAACGGAAGACGTGAGAACCAGGTGAAGAGCTGATATAACTACAGATCACCGCATTGTGATGACCAAGATGAAACTGAAGCTAAATAATCATTTGAAAGTTGGAGAAACACCATTACAAAGGTTTGATATAGTCTTTCTACGAGATACTGACAAACTCATCCAATTCAAGATAGCTCTCAACAACAGGTTCGAAGCCTTACAAGATCTACTCAAAGGAGAGGAAAATTTTCACACCCTTTAGTACCAACCCATCACATAAAAACGGCTCCCATGTATAATAGCGGTCACAACTCCTCCCAATTACGCGTAGCAGACCCCTCTCACGCTAAAGTAAATAGCCATAACAGGGGCTACGAGTCTAGTCACCAAGACTATTTCGTAAATAACCATACACTTCACAGTAGGCCTGTACAAGACATTTTTGGAATAAGACCCCTAGTGACACCTCTGTTGAAGCATATAGCCCAGGTTATTTCAAACCACATGCAAACCATAAATTTGTTTCCTCCGTACAGTTTCCATCACAGAGTACTCCCACCCTTTCCTCCTGGGTAAAATCCCCAATCAACTTCACTGGCTCATTTGATACATCTCCCACTAAATCTTTCTATCAAAATACTGAGCTATTGAAGAACATTCAATCCCTTACTTCAAACTTATCTCACACCAACGAAGGTTACGACGACTTGATCCGAAATACTCTTGCCCATTTTAACTTAGTAGGCCATTTGTTTAATATATGTTTTATCAACGCCAGATCGATCTGCAATAAAAAGACGGATTTAGCCCTGTTTGTATCCATATATCAACCATCACTTATAATGATATATGAAGCATGAACTGACAGTAATATTTCCGACCTAAGTATATCTCTTGATAACTATTTCCTATGTAAAAGTGATAGATTGAAAGGACGAGACGGGGGATGCCTTATTTACGCTCACGCTAGCCTGAACTCACTACTATGTGATATGCCTTAAATAAATAAACTGAAGGATTAGGTGTGGATTGTATTAAAGCCGTCGAATTCCGTTACCTTATTGCTCGGCTGTGTTTATCGTCAACCTGATGCATCAGTAGATGAAATAGCAGTATTATCGGAGGTATTCACACTAGCATCATACCTTCCATTCACAGGCATGCTTATTTGTGGTGACTTCAATATGCCCGAAACTTCTTGGCTCCCAGTCAAAGCGCCGAGACGTTATGAATCATTTATTGAATGTCTAGAGCTTGGAAAATGGACTCAGTATGTCAATAGCCCTACTAGACATCAAAACATCTTGGACCTAGTCTTTACTTGTGGCCTCATCCTCAATACTTTGTATATTGGAAAAAAGTATCCAGGTAGTGATCATAACATTGTCATATGCAGGCTTATTATAAGAACCACAACCGGTAGAAGTGAAACCGTAACACTGAGTAGAAACTATCGCAAGGTTGATTGGAATAACTTCCACAATTACCTATGAAGCACTGATTGGAGAACTTTCTTTACCTCAAACAATACCGACACATTAACCAATATATTTCATCACAACATCAAAAGTACCATCAACAAAATCTCACCTTTACAATACAGTAGACCTACGTTCTCCAAAGATCTCTATATACCGGTCAGTACAAGAAGACGTCTTCAAAGACATTGTACTCGATTCCACAACTTAAATGACTTTTCCTCTCTAGTAACGATGACAGAAATACTTGTTCGAACAGAAGCAATAAGTCCACAAAAAGCAGTCGCACAGGAAAAACGTGCACTCACCATACTCCTTCAAAATAAACGTAAACGTTCTAAATCGAGAGGGAGTATATTTATTAAAGGCAAACAAGTATACGAAGATCCCAAACTTGTCACGAAATTATTTAGTGAACATTTTTGTTTCTCACTAACTAACGAAAAACCATTTAATGATTCGGAACCAATCCCAGTAACTCTCTGTGAAACTACTAATGTAGAATTCAGTGTACAAAATATCTCCAAGGCAATCAGTACATTGAAACACTCCTACACTGATGGACCAGATGGTATTCCATCTAGCATGCTAAAAAGTGGAGGTGATGATATGTGTGTTTTGCTTCTCAAACTATTCGCGATATCACTCTCTTCAGCGTGTTACCCTACTGCCTGGAAAACTACACATATCATTCCCAAAATTAAAACAGGACCTGAAGCAAACGTTGAAAATTACCGGCCTATAAACATAACTTCAGTGGTATCCAGAGTGATGGAAAAAGTAGTTAAGGCGGATATAGTCCAACATCTACTAACTAATAATCTCATCTCGACCTCCCAGCATGGATTTCTTAAGTCCAGATCATGCGATACATGCTTAGTAGATTACCTGAATGATATAACTCTGCAACGAGACAGCGGACTCCTTGTGTCAGTCCTATTCCTAGACTTTAAGAAAGCTTTTGATAAGGTCCCACACAAAAGGCTACTATTCGAACTAAAGTCCTTCGGAATACACAACTCACTGTACTCATGGTTTGCTTCGTTCTTAACAGAACGTAAACAGATGGTAAAGTACAATGACTGTTTCTCGTCCCCTAGACCAATCACCAGTGGAGTCATCCAGGGAAGCGTATTAGGTCCACTTTTGTTTCTTATGTATATAAACGATATATGTAACACCATAGGATTTGGGAAACCATACTTATATGCTGATGGTCTCAAAACAGTATACAGCTATAAGCCTGAGACACTAAGCGAAAGTGTATCCCAGATTCAAAAGGACCTCAATAACTTAACTATATGGGGTGAGAAATGGAAATTACCGTTTAACCTCAACAAGTGCGGGATCATGCACTTTGGAAAGCATCTCTATAAACCGCAACTTCACTTAAATGAAAGTAGAGTCCAAACAATCGTATCAGTACACGATTTATGAATTGATTACACAGGAAGCCTGAACTTTGAAGAACATGCCTTCTCTATTA